CTGGGACCGAGTGGGCCCACCAGGGCCACTGTCCCCACCACTCATGGTGCTCTGTAGACATATAAGTGCCTGGGACCGAGTAAGCCCACCAGGGCCACTGTCCCCACCACTCAGGGTGCTCTGTAGACATATAAGTGCCCGGGACTGAGTAAGCCCACCAGGGCCACTGTCCCCACCACTCAGGGCGCTCTGTAGACATATGAATGCCCTGGACCGAGTAAGCCCAGCAGGGCCACTGTCCCCACCACTCAGGGTGCTCTGTAGACATGTAAGTGCCCGGGACTGAGTAAGCCCACCAGGGCCACTGTCCCCACCACTCAGGGCGCTCTGTAGACATATGAATACCCGGGAATAAGTAAGCCCACCGGGGCCACTGTCCCCACCACTCAGGGCGCTCTGTAGACATGAAGTGAAGAACTGCGGTCCCGTCACCCCATCGCAGTTTCTCTCTGCCTGCTCTGAACGACTGTCGTGCTCATCTTGTAGAATCACGTGTACGTGTGAAGTCATACCTTACGGTACTGTAGCAATATTGGGAGTGGGGGAAAGCCTTTGAAAATGCTCAGGTTTTCACATAGATGTAAAAATACAAAATGACCCCCCAAAATAAAATAAAACGTGTGGCATCACCCATTACTGAACGTGGAATTGGGGGCAAGTTTAGTTTAACAGTAGGCTTCATCCAATCCCAGCTTTATTTGATTTATTTACATTTTTAGTTCACTACATCATGTGTGTCTTTATCAGAGACACATCCCAAGGGGATGGCCACACCACAATTCTTCCTCCTACATTCTCTTAGGATTTCAAGCACGAAGACACATGTGCCTGGAATGTTTTCAAGTTGTTTGTCGAACAGCATGGTCGGCCACGTGGGATCCAGCCTCCTTAACCCCCCTGCTACCTGCTGACCCCCAATCACAGCTTTTAAATAGCAATAACAACAGAGGGACACAGGTCCCACAATATTGCAAAGTCCTTGAGAGCTGAGATCTCGCATATCCAACTTAACCTTTTTTTTTTTTTTCAAATTTATTTATTTGCATTCATTCACTGTACATCATTACAGCATACAAAATGAGATTTTCCATACAGAGTACACTGTATACTGTCTCAATCAAGCACATCAACAAACATGTTATTCTTAGCAAATGATCTTCCATTTCTTGTTTTCTGTATGTTTTGCTTTTTTCCCCCCATCCTTGGTTCCCTCTCTCTGACCCTCTGCCACCTCCCACTCTCCTCCCACACTGTCTCTTGGTTCCCTCTCTCTTACCCTCTGCCACCTCCTGTTCTCCTCCCACACTTTCTCTGTTATCTATGTTTGCTTTCTATACCATTTTCCCCCCACATTTTATTGAATCACCAAAGACCCTCATCAATCCAAATACCCTCCTAGCAAACACATGTGACACATTTCCATGAGCACAAGTCTAACTTTACGCATCCTATCAAGTAGCACCTAACTGGGGCTACATATCCTACTGCAGTCATTGAATAGATATATTTTGTTTTCCTGAAACTCTTTTTTGTAACTCAATTTACATTCCTTCTCTAGGCATCATCACAGCACACAAAATGCGATCTCCCATCCAGTACACACTGCATAGTGACTCAATCATGCACATTACAAAAAATATAAATTTCCACTTCTAGTTGCTAGAATTAATTCCACCCCTCTTTCTGACCCTCTGTCCCTTCCCACCCTCCTCTCACACCACCTCTAGTGTCCAAAATTGTCCTCCATTCCCTTCCCACCCACATTGCATTGATCACACAATTTCCTACATAACCTGACTACTTTCAAAGGTGAGTTCCCTCGTTACTACTAAGAAAACCAGTTTTAACTTAAATCAAAGAACCGCCAAGGAACTTTGCTTAAAGCCCGGAAACAGGTTAGGATTCTGTTCAAATGGTAGGTGCATGAACCTATCAGTCTCATATACTTTTATCTTCTGTTCTGGTTCAATTTTCCTGATTAAATTCTGGGATATAGTATTCAACTCCAGACTTGTCCCTATGATTAAGTTAGCTACTTTCTCAGTTTTTGGACTCTTATTTCCATGTATCTGCGTTTAGTTTTCCTGATACAGCACATCCTTGAGAACTTCTTGGAGGTCTGGTCTGGTGCTGGTAAATTCTTTCAGGTTTTGTTTATCTGAGAATGTTCTTGTCTTTTCTTCCCACCTGAAAGATAATCTTGCCGGATACAGTATTCTTGGCTGAAACTGCTTCTCTCTTAACACTTGGAATATATTTTCCCATTCTCTCCTTGCTCGTATTGTTTCCGATGAGAGATCTGCTGTTAGCCTGATGGGATGTCCTTTGTAGGTAACTTGCTGTTTTTCTCTTGCTAATCTTAGTATCTTGTCTTTGTCTGCAGTTTTGGTCAACCTGGCTATAATGTGTCTTGGAGAAGATCTTCTTGGGTTGATTCTATTTGGGGTCCTTTGTATTTCCTGGGACTGGATCTTCGAATGCCTCTCTAGGTTTGGAAAGTTTTCTTGCAGGATTTCATGGAATAGATTATCAATGCCCTTATGGGTTTCCTCACCTTCTGGAATGCCAATTATCCGGATATTTGGACGTTTGATGGTATCCAGTACTTCTCGCATATTATTCTCAAATTTTTGTGCCATTTTCTCAGTCTTCATGGTGGATTTTTCTAGGCCGGCCATTTTTTCCTCTACATTTGAGATTCTATTTTCGGAATGATCTAGTCTGCTTTTAATACTTTCCAGGGAGATTTTTACTTCTTGTATTATAGACTTCATCTCTAGCAGTTCTGTTTGAGTCTTTTGTAAAGTGTGTAATTCCTCTTTTAGATCTTGCAGGAATTTCCTCATCTCTTGGAACTCGTCAACTTCTTTCTCCTTTCTCTTTAGCAGTTCATTATCTCTCTTCTCTTCCATCTCTGTTAGCTTAGACATTATGAATGATCTGAATTCCTTATCAGACATTTCCATGATTTTCACCGAACTGCTTGTGGATGAAGAGTTACTCTTTTCCCTAGGAGGAGAGGTATTTTCTTGTTTTCCCATATTTCTCGTGATCCGGCGGTGATTTCTTGTCATCTGATGAATGTTGTGTTTCTTTCAAATTCTTGAGGTTCAGCCTTAATGTTCAGGAGCAAGCAGACAGAGGTGATCCAGAATCTCTTTGCTGTTCTATTGTGCTTGCGCTAGCTCGTTTGTTGGAGGCTGAATTATTAGTAGAAAATCTTCATTCCCTTAAAAATCTAGTTCACAGTAGCCATGTGGAACCTTGTCCTGAAGGCCCGTGGCTTCTTCTGCCACTAGCTC